TCCTCTGTCCCCTGCCTGTAACTTAGCTCCCTGCTTTCAGGCCCTCCTCAAGAACACCACCCCCAGCTTCCCTACCTGTGCTCCAAGGACTAGTGATACCTCAGCCCTTAGCCCCACCAGAGGGAACTCTCTGCTCCAACTCCACCAGCTCATTGTTGTTTTACTACTTTGGCCCGGAACCCAGATAGCCACGTGCCATTTAAAAGTCCTTAGGTATGTGTGTCTGCACTTGAGGTAGACACTTCAATCTCCTGAAACAGGTACTTGCATATAGTATGTTCCAAAACAACTTGCAGATTTATTTTGCAAAAAAAGGGGTAAAAACCATGGGAAAGACAAGGAAGAATGGGGGAGGCTGAGTAAGACAGCCTGTAGGGGGTACTCTGAGAACATTGCTCTGGCTAATGGAAAATGGAATGGAATTGGCAGCTCTCAAAAAGAGCAAGCATGTAGTTAGTCCTTGTTTCTCCTCACAAGTCAGGTCTATCTGGAGTTGAATTAGCCCTTTCACACACATGGGAAACGGAGGAGTGAGGGGAGAATAATAAAAGGGGGAAACCAGTGATGCTGTCGTGGAGTGCCACTACAGACATTAGTACTGTCCTCTACTAAGCTAGAGAAACAAAATAGGACTGAAAATTATTCTGCCAGCAATAGTTTTGGAGGCATGCCCTATCCATGCCTCTTTTAGCTTAATGACTCCAAATTTTACCTTTAAGACTTATTTCCAGAATGATTCGGACTGAACTTTCCTATGTTCATACGTGAATATAAGATCAGTGCAACTCCACACCATGTTTAACCACAAGAATGTGATCAAAGTTATAATGGGTTAAATCCTATGTGTGTATAATATGTCAAAATACACCCTACTGTCATACATACCTAAAAACAACAAATTTTAAATTACATAAGGTATACATGTATCAAAATATCACACATAACTTCATTAACATAAAAAAGTTTTGTTTTTATGTGTCAGTTAAAGATAAATTTAATTTTTAAAAGTTTAAAAAAGAAAATAAGCAGTAAGCATCATGATGACTTTCAAATGCAACTCACATTTTAAATAAAAATTTATATGCTTTTTTATCTAAAAAAATTCCATTCCTTTTTCCAAAAAAAAAAAAAAAAAATACAGACTTATTTCCATCATTCCCCAGGTCAGCAGGGAAGAGAAAGCTGAGAATACACCTGGTGGGACCCAAAGGAAAGGTGTCTGGCCAGCTCCGGCAGCAGATATTTAAACAGAATCTCCTCTTCACTGGCCTTTATCTTTTTTTTTTCTTTACTATAATTTGAATCCTTGGAGGGAAAAAATATTCCCACAGCCAGAAGTGGTAACTGGGCAAAAAGTCAGGCAGGCAGAGGCTGGCATGCTCCCTACAATGGGGTACCAGTCTCTTTCTTGTCTTTCCCTTCACCTTCTTCCTTCCTTTCTCCTCCCATCCCAGCTATACCTGTTTTATTGCCCTCTGTCTTAAGCCTCTTTTCCTTTTCCTTCATTCTCCCCCCTTCCTGAGTGATGTGTGTTTTTCCCTCTCTCATTCACTTCCTCTGTCTCCCTGCCTCCTTCCTCCTGTGGCTTTTCCATGCTCCCAGAAGTCACATTTCTCTAGAACACCTGTGTCAGAAGGTGTTCTAGCTAGCTGTGTGATTATGGCCAAGCTACTGTATATCTCTGGGTCTCAGTTTCTAGATGCTCTTTCAGTCCTTTGCAGCTCTGAAATTTGTCTCTGAATGAAATGGAATCAACCCACCAACATAGCAGCTGCTGTTGTAGAAACAGGAAAATCAGGCTAGGTGCCCCCGAAAGCACAAGCACCAGGGGGCGCCCGAGGACCACTCAAAGAAGGAGGATTTACTACTTGCTTTACAGGCAGTTCTGGTATTGCAATCTGTCTCGTGAGATGGGTACTGTTGGTGGTGGTCCTGTTTTACAGGTGAAGAAACTGAAGCACCATGAACTGGAGGGATTTGCCCATGGTCACAAAGACAAGTCACATGAGGACAGGATTTACACTCAGGCAGATTCAAGAGCCTGTGCTTGTATCCCACAATTCTGCATTGCCCTGGCCACTGATGCTCACATGCCAGATTCCCATAAAGCTACTTAGTAAACACCTCTGGATCTCAAATGTACTTAGGTTCCTTAGGTACAGAATACATGTATAGGTCCATCAATCTCTCTACCTCTGACCTCTAACACATTTGCCTATAGCTATTATTATCAACTCACTATTGCCCTATGTCCTCATCAGTATCCTCTGGTAGCCTTGTTCTTTATATTTTCAAATGTGCGTGTCTTCATGAGCACTGAGGCTGTGTCCCTGTGTCCTCTTCCCGGGATGGAAACATTTGGAAACTCACGATTTTCATATCACAATTCTTGTAGGCAGCCTCCAGCTACTCACCAGCAAAGCTACTACTGGATGGATTATGAGGGCTAAATGGTATTCACTTCACAAGGCCCAGACTGGGATGCTCTAATAGTTTGATAAATTCAGCAAACAGAAAGAGACTGTAAGGGACAGAGAGAGGAAGAAGCCCTGGTTTCTACTTGCAAGGAGATAAGAGAAGCATTCAAGGATTGAAGATCGTGAAATGTAATGCAAAGGTGAAAGTATTTATCAAAATCACAACTCCCTTGAGGAAACAAGGGACAAGAATATTATTTGTCCAGTCTGATCCTAAAAACTAGGACTGGCTCATGCATGGCTAGGAGTCAAGAGACCAAATACCAAGTCCCTCCCTTTCACCCTCAAATGTGTGAGTCCAGTTCCCTTCTGAAGCACAGCTCTGACACCTGTTGGGCAGTAATGGCTGTTTGGATGTCAGGTACACAACTGAGACCCATCACCAGATTTAGCCACCCTCATTCTCCCACAATTTCTTTGCATCTGTGCCAGCGTCAGTTACACAGATGAGTGAATGAGCATGTGAGCAAGTGGGACAACAGTAAATGAAGTCATGCTCTCAGAAGGCACAGTCACATCTCCTGAAAAGAACAACAGAATTAACCAACCTGGGAATTCAGTTCTCATGGAAAGAAAGCCCAAGCCCCCACACGCCTACCTTCTAATCTTCTGACTGCTTTTGTGTAGTACCCACAACATATAAATCGAAAGGCTCTCATTTTTTAGAGTATGATGTAGCCACCCATGCAGTGCTATTATGCTTTTTCTTCATTTTAGTGTAGATGTCACAGTTTCCACAGGAAAGTCTGATAACAGCCATTCCCCAAGAATTGAAGCATGGCATGTCCCCTGTTCTTGGGGAGCCCCTTCATCTGCCCTCCTTGTATTTCCTCTGCACCTCTCCAGAGCCAGCCTAGTGTCACAGACCTAAGAACAGAAGGAAGATAAAGAAAAGCCCAGGAGACTGTCCATCCACAGTCCACAACTTGGTCATCTTGGAGAGTCATGGAGAGTTCATCCCATGCCCCCTCTTTTGTGCCTGCAAAGATACATACCTCACTCTGTCTCAATCACAGATGGCCTCCTGCTATACTGTGTTAAGGGGTGATATATTTATCTGGATGGCTTGATATTTCAGGAGCTGGACACTGCTTCTCCATTCTCCACCAGGGTTTCAGAGATGGGCCAGCACATTAGCACTGCCCTCCCTCATAAAGTGTCCCTCTGATGACTCAATCATGGTCCCAGTCAGAAGGTGCTGCAAGGGAGTTTGGGAAGCCCAACAAAGGGAAGTGAGCCTAGAGGCCCCTCTATTCCTGGGGCCGACTATACAGTGACGCCCACATGCCAGAAGGTGTCCCAGTGTTAGGGATGACCCCCAACCCTGCATGTCTGCTCAGGCCTCCAGCACCAGGGCCCTTCCCAGCAACAGCTGTGAAGACACACACAGTGGGTTCTCAGGTTCCTATGCCTATTCTGCTTCACTTGTACATTAGACCCAGTCAATACCACAGAAGGAAAGAACAGAAGGAAAGTGAATCATTATTCCATTTGTATAATCCAGAAATTATAAGGTAGCCACAGGAAAGTCTAGCAACAGGAGTTTGAGCCCAAGCCCCCTGGCCTACCTCTTGTAAACTCAGAGGGAAGTGACACTGATCCCCATCTCAGGCCCTTATATCAGATCTCAGGGCCCCCTCCTGGGATCTTCAAGGAGACAGAAACAGAAAGCACAAGGGGAAAAGAATAGCTTATTCCTTCTGAAAGAGCATTTGTGGCAAGGCTGTCTTCCATTTCTTCTTTTTTTTCTTTTCTTTTTTGCAGTAATGGGGACTGAACACAGGGATGCTTTACCATGGAGCTATAATCCAGACCTTTCTATTTTTCATTTTGAGACAGGGTCTTGCTAAGTTGCCCAGGCTGGTCTTGAACTTACAATCCACCCATCTTAGCTTCCCAAGCAGCTGGGATTACAAGAGTGTGCCACTGCACCCAGCTTCCATTTCTTCATTATTTGTGGTCAAGAGAAAGCCATGACTGGTGTAACAATGCAAAACAGTTAAAGCAACCTCTAATCATGGAATGGACAGCAGATGATAACCCATGTTTTAAACCTAGTTTCACAGGTCCACTTGCCAATAATCTTCTGAAAATCCCTGTATCCTGCCCCTACTTGATGGAGAGGTGAGCTCACTTTATGTGGTCCATTGCTCAGATAATCCTGCAGCCCCCAAGCTGTCTAGCAATCTTACCAACTGCGTGAGGTTCAAACTCATCAAAAGAAAAATGGTATATGGCTGCAAGGAATTGCTGCTCTTGAGACTGAGCCTCCCTTTCCAACATCATACAGCAAGAAGGTCCAGTCTCCAAGCTGCTTAGGCAAAAAGCATGCAATTAACAAATCCAGTGGTTTTTTTTCTTTGTTTTGTTTCTTTTGCAAGGTGTGGGGATATAGCTGCAGGATGAATTGTCATTTCCCTCTATCAATCTGGGCTTCCATAGGGCCTGATCAACAGGTCAGGGACTTGAACTCAGTCTGTCTCTTGGGACAGATGATGGCTGCAGGGGAGCAGAGCCTGTTACCTGCTGCACGTCCTGCTGGAAGACGCAGAGCTGCAGCCGCTGGTGAAGCCGCACCTTGCGGTGCTGCCAGATGCTCTCAAGCCGCCGCTGGTGGTGCAGCACCTCGTGCACCACATCCAGCACCTGGTGCACTGCCTTGGAGTAGTTGGCTGTGGCTGTGAGGGACTCAGAGTTACCAGGACTCAGGGGACGCTGCAACACATCCAGCAGTGCTTTGCCATCCTGGCTGACCTGCAGGAAGGAAAGAGTTTAGGTCAAGGAACCAGAGAGGCAAGAAAGTCTGCTCCAGGGGTCCCTGGTTAAGCCTGAGAATCTCAGTCATCTCCAGGCTCATCAAAACCAAGACACATGTTAACCAGCAACAGCTGCCACGGTGCCCAGCCCATGGCCCAGGAGAGGGAAGGTCCTAGGGAAAAAAGTTGCCTGGAGCCACGGCCAGCTGCCTATGAGACCCTCATGAATTTTAGCTGCTAAGGGCAAGAACTCTGCCTTGTTCACCCCCCCCCCCCCCAGGTCTAGAACAATGCCTGGCACATAGCAGGCACTGGATGAGTATTTTGAATGACTCACAGACAACATCAGGCAGCAGAACTTCATTTCACAAATGAAGTCAAATATGTCACCACCATAAAATCCTTTCCTGCTCTTCCTCCCTCAACATCCTCTATGTGGCTCTAAACTTCCAGATGTATGATCAGAGACTCTGGGCCTCAGTTTCCTTGTTTGCAGGGGAAAAATGAAATTGGCACGTACCTCACAGAGTTGTGGTATTAAATGAGATAACATATGGAGGTGGGCTTCCATATCCACCCTGTGATGGGAAGGAGGGGCAGTCTATGACCCTACATCATTTTCTTTCCCTTTCTTCAGGCTCGGCTGGGGGTTGAGGATCACATAGGCAGTTGGTATCCTGCACATGAGGCCACAGAATGCTCTCTGACTGGGTGATTGAGAGCACTAGAGTAGAATGAATGGGAGAGGAAACCACCACTGCCCACCCAAGCTCACCCACCCTGTCTGCCATCACTTATTGCTGGGGAGGTAGCTTATAATGCAGAGGTAATGCCCTCCTGAAATGTGAATAAGTATCCTATGACCAATCCCAGGACAGACCTCTTCAGGGAATTCTGAGCAAATTCATTCCCTCTCCCTCTTCCTCTCTCTCAACAGAAGATGTGAGATGGAGGGCCAAGTCCTGGAAATCCAAGTCAACCTGAGTTCCAGGCCTCTGCCTCAGTCTCCGCATCTGTAGGAGGCTGGCACCACCCCGACCTCTGAGGTGGGCTTGGAAAAGCCTCCATTATATAATTACAGCCACAACTCACAGTGTGAACCAGTGAGTAAATTATTAATCTCATTTGTGCTTTCTACTTCTGTATTTCATAAATTTAGAGATTCTTTATTCTGGAATAAATTTAGAGATTCTTGAACCCTGGGTAGAGGCACAATATTGTCAAAAGAAAGTTTTGGACCATTTGAATCCGAGCTTCTGAGATCTGATTTGGCTCACAAGTCCCCTCCTTTGTGTCTTAGACAACGAAAAACTCTGTTGCCATGTTTAGTACTGATCACTGTCAGGCACTGGGCCACATGCCTTACATGCATCGTGTTTACAACCCTTGACCGCATCCCAGGAGGCAGGTGTTCCCACCTTCATTTCACAGAATAACCTGAGTGGATGTGACTTACCTGAGGTCACATAGCTAGGAAATGGGGGACCTGAGATACAAACTCAGTTTTGACTGTGACAAAAATGCTAGTGGTTCTTTTACACATGCAACAAACTCACCTGAAACAATAGTTATTAAAATGTTATGTCCCAAGCCATACTTCTTGACATTCTGCTTCAGTCAGGAATGAAACCCAGAAATCTGCATCTTTAACTGCCACTCGTGAGTCTAACACATGTGGTCTGGGAATGCATTCTGACAAACTCTCCTCTCACTCCTGCCCCAGAGGAAATGCATGGGCCAGATCTGCATTCACTGTCCCTTCCTCTCCCAGCTTCCCAAGTCACATCTCTTTCTATCCCTCAAGCCCCTTCCTTGGAATCCACTCCAGTGAGTGAACCTCCTTACCTGTGGACACCCACATGATGCACCCATACAGAGCTTTCCTTTATACTTTGAAAGGAATGTCAAAAAGTTTTTCTCCAAACTTCGTAGTTATCTCCCTGCCTTTGATTTTTTTTTTTTTTTTTTTTTTTTTGTGGAGAGGATTTTCAGTTTGTCCTCATATCCATGGCAGCTTCTCACTCCTGCACACTTAACTCTACTCATGTTTTTCTCTGGATCTTGTAATAAGAAAATTAGTTTTTTTGAGGAGCTGCTTCATAAAAGGAGTGGCAGCAAGGTTAGTGTGCACATATTCATTCACCAACTGTAAAACCAGAAAGCAAATTCACAGGAGCCAAGCCTGGTTCCTCACATTCCTCCCCACAGAGAAGGAAGCCCAGTCTTTACCCACAGGGTGAGATAGGTGTGTGGGTACATGCCTTGAGAGACAGAGAGAGAGGATGCGTGCACAATGGAGTGGTGCTTGCTAAGGGCCCCATCTGTAACTGCTCCTGGCTGGACACCCATAATTCACAGACCAAGATCCCTACAGGTATCTCTGGAAGAAGACAACCTGCCTCTCAGTCCAACTCAGGCTATTCCATGTACAGGCAGGGCTCTTACCACACACTCATATGCATACATGCATACCCAGAACCCCTGGCTCCCCTCTTGGTTCTCACCTCTGTGTAGGCCTGGGTCACCTGCTCATACAAGGACTGGTGGTGGTGGATCGCCAGCTCCAGGTCCTGCATCTCGGACGGCAGGCCGCCTTCACTGCACATCTTGCACCAAGCATCTACTCCTGACAAGAACTGAAAGGAGATGCCAGGTGAGTGAGAGTGGGAACACTGGGATGGGGATGCATGGGTTATGTAGAGAGGGTTAGACACCCTGGGAACGAGCACAGGGACTTCCACTGGTCTTCAGAGACCATCACAGCAGGCACAGCTTTTTCCTTTAATTGGCCAAACACTAACCCCTAGAAAGATGAAGTCCAAGCCAGGCAGCTGTTTGGGAAGTATAGTTTCCACAGAGAGGTTTGTCATACAACTGTGGGGCCAGACAAGTCATCTGAAGGCTTGCCAGGTTACACAACAAATGCAAGGTACAGGTGTGGGAACCGCTCACTACAGCCCACATGTACACCGGAGCCTTTTGCTCTGTGCACACCCACAGGCACCCAATAGGGACTGCGTGCAATGTAATGACAGGCCTCCACACTTAAGCTCTGTGTGCACACTGAGTGGTGAAGAGAAGTAGAGAACACCTCCTGCAGGTCTACCAGGAACCTGTGGCACTCTGCAGAGACTGTCCCCACAGGGGATGAAGACTAAGGCTCAACAGACTCCCACTTGGGTCAGGTTCCTGCAGGTGGGAGCAGGAAGAACAGCATAGGGGAACAGACTGTGCTGTGTCTACAGTGACAATGGCTCCTGGGATGTGATATATAGACGCATATCTTAACAGACATCAAATTACTTAAAAATTAAAATTAACAACTGTGGAAGACGATGGGTCTCCATGCACAAAAGGATGAGCTATCTGAAATCACTCAGATTTATTGGGTGGAAAAATACACCTTTAAAATGCAAATAATTCTTCACCCAACAGTCTGGAATGGTTCTGTCTGTGATTCCCTTCGCCTGGGTGCACAGCTCCATTTAAATTAATTGCCTAAATACCTTTTTATCTCATTGCCTAGAATAGCCCATAGGAGGACAATAAAGAGCTGCCTAAATAAACGCACAGACAAAAATAGTCTTGAATCAGTTTTTTTTTTCTCCCCAGCTTAAAAAAAAAAGCATGGTTTATGAATTTCCCTGAAGGACTGATAATACCCAAGGAAATAACATTAAAAAATAGATACAAATAAAATTGCTTCTGATCCAAACCAATCCAAGTCAGAAAATATCAAATAAAATTTAACTCCTTTGGTTCCTCTCAGCTCTGGCATTCCATTCTCTTCTGTAACTACTCAGCTGCTTGACTTGATGTCACTGTCAGCTTCAGCCCCTGGCTGTTAAGGTTGATTTTCCATCCTGTATATCTTTGGACCCATTAGGCCATTTCTCAGCAATTCTGGAAAAGTGCCCAGGTGCCATCCAGCATCAGACTGCTGGTACTTGCTGACATCTCAGAAGCTTCTTTGCTGAGTTATTGCTCCTCCAATAACCACCTTACAGAGGAACTCAAAAGCAACTTGACATTCTTGTATCAACTGTGTGGGGAGCAGCTCTTCCAGGTCCATGGGATTTCTTTGAAATACTCTAACAGGAGTCCTAGCTCCTGACAATGGTCAGCTTGAGGAGAGAAGGCCAGAGACAGAGGGAAACAATGCCTTCCTTGCCAATCTAGATAAATCTTGAATAAAGTGTGAAGGGATAGTGCTGAAGAATAGGAGATTATACCTCAGTATCCTCAAGGTCCTAAAAATGGAGTGGTCACTATCAATCACTACTTTAAAAGGAAAGGTATGATTAGATTGATCTCAAAGTGTAGGGCTATGCTTGATGTGTGACTCAAGTATTTACTTCAGTGATAGAAAGGTTGTAGGTGGAAATAAACAGGCAGAGAAATTTAAAAGATACCAGGATAGTGTATAGAGTGAGTACTCATGGTAGTAATGTGTGCTATCTTGTACACACTAGGCATCTTATATATTCCATCTGCACTGTCACATCCTTATAATAGCCCTATGAGGCTCATGATCACCACATTAGAGAGGAGAAAACAAGCTCAGAATGGTGAGGTGATTCACCTAAGAGTTAATGAATAGTGGACTAGGGTTAGAAGGCACAGGTCTGGCTTCCAAGTCTAGACTTTTTCAATTATCCTATATTGCCTTCTCTGTTAAAATAGAAGGAGAGTTCAAAGTATAACCATGTGTCTGAGGCTCTTTGATCTGTGAGTTACCCAAATGTGATACCAAGAAAGAAACTCAGGTTAAGACCATAGGCACCTGTTAGACACACCTGAGCCGAAATCTCAGTGACCCCATAGATTGTGTGATTTTTAACAGGGGTATGTGAGCAAATATTTAACAACCAGCATATATATGCAATGCTCTTTATTATAATTTCATGTAGCCAATGGATTTCCTGAAGGATGTTTTGGTTGAACTCTTGAATCCAGTCAACCTACGGCAGCAGCGGACAAACTTGTAGAGTTCTGACACTGATAATGCTGAGTGATATTTTCACTTACATTAAAGAGTAAAGAAAAAGTGAAAACACCTAAAGACTTATGTCAGCATTTCACTTGTTCATCATTGATGTTTGTGTCTTCTTTGCTGAATCAAATGATGATTTTTGAAGATAAGAAGAATATCTTCAAAAATTTAAACTAAGTATATATTTTTAAACATTTCTCCCTCATTTTCTTAAGACCCTAGACAATCAACAAAACCATAAATCAAGCCCTGGTTTGTGGCATGTGATGTTTCTGTGGTGTAAAACTCCTACCATGGTCATTTTAAACTACCAGTGTGATATCATTGAATGTGCAGTGGGAAGAGATGACCAGCAGCATGCAGTTGTTTAGGATTTCCCCCCCAGGGAAAAAAAAAAAGATAAAAATAACTTCAAGAACATAGATAATAACTAAACACAGCAGAATAATCAGGAAGTTATGAGTTTTGAATCCTTACTACCTTTGCTTTTAATAAAACATAATTATAAATTTATATAATTTAGTTTTAAGTAGCTCATAAAATTCCTGAAAACTTAAGAACTGGCTTTCCATGAGCTGGCCTGAACCAGGCTCCAACATATCACAGGTTCTTAGGCAGGTCACTTAATCTCTCTGAGCTCTAGTGCTCCTTTTTGTTACTAACCTTACTAACTTGGGTTAGTAAGGTCACTCACTGGCCAATGCTCAGCCACTTAATAAGTAAATGGCAACTATTTATTTCTACCCATTATGTTGTTATTATCTATAACAAATGCTTCATGTGAATTAATTTCCCCCTGCTCACAGAACTCAGTGATCACTGGACTTTCATCCTTTTGGTCTCTCTGAATGTATACCAAGTAGACAGTCAACACCCACCCTCACCACCACCCCAACCATAAACTACTAAGCAGGACATGGCTTATTTTTAACTGCTACCTCCTAACAGGATATGGGTCCCTTTTTATTTATTTTTGTTTGTTTTTGTTTTGGGGGGTAGCTGGGATTAAATTTAGGGGAACTCAACCATATCCCCAGCCCTATTTTGGATTTTATTTAGAGACAAGGTCTCACTGAGTTGCTTAGTACCTTGTTTTTGTTGAGGCTGACTTTGAACTCAAGATCCTCCTGCCTCAGCCTCCTGAGATGTTGGGATTACAGGTGTGCACCACTGTACCAGGCCCCCTCTTATTTGTATGTCAAGCAAGGCCACCAAGAGCTAATAGTGTTTCTTTGTGAACACGGAGGCTATGAAAAGGTAGAACACCAGTTACTGCTGCAGCTGTTGAGCAAGGTCTTAGGTGTTTCAAAAAGACAGTAGGGGATTTCTGCAGAGATGGCGTTTGTGCCCCCACCTTGCCATCCATCCCCCACTCCTGTTCTCTTCCCACTTCCAGCAGCCACCAAAGGTCTCTAGGCCTCACCTGTTCAGCCTTCTGATGGAACACAGCAGACATAGCCAGGATGGTGCTGCGTTCGTCCAAGGCAGCTGCGAAGCTCTTCCACTCCTGGTCTAGCTGCGTAGAGATCTGCTTGATTTGCTGGGAGGCATAATGGCCAGCCTCAGAGAGGCGGGAAGCCACAGACATGATGCGGTTGATATTGACATAGGCATTCTGGGAAGCAAAGGAGAGTGGATGTTTAGTGGGGCAGGCTGAGAAGATATCCACTGGGCACTTGTGGGGTGGGTATGTTTTTGGGGGGAGGAGGCTACCCAAAACAAAAAGTTTAAGAGAGGCTGATATCAGCCATACTGGTGTAACCATTGTGGGTCCAAGGGAAGTTATTCTCTATACTATAAAATCTTGGTAGATGGCAGCGACAGTAGCTGAGACTTCTCCTTCTGGAGAACCAGCACAGATTTTGTGCCAATTATTAATGCACATTAATGCATGGAATATCTTATGTGATCCTCACATCGAAAAGGTCACTCTAGGGGGATGGCACAATTCAAGAGCACTCTTTGAAAATAAATGGTTCAGACTAGGGTTTAAGCTGAAGGAGGCAAAGACGTCTCTCTTACTCAGGAGAGAGATGCACCCAGGACAGTACCACCACCTACAACACGGCAGCGGTGCTCACCAAAGACAGCACACAAGACATGATGATTCTACATCTCTCTGTAACAGATCAAAGATGCCTCTCCCATCCTCCATCTCCACCCCACCCCCCACTGCCTCTGCCAGAAGAGCTGAGTCACTGGCCACCAGTCAGGGTGTACATAAATACAGCATGTGGAGCCACATTTTTCCATGATAAAAATAAGGTCTGTGGACCCCCTTATCACTGCTTGACTTGGGAACACTTCACCTGATCCCAGATGGCATCTGTGGTTACTCCAAAGAGCACTTACGGGGACTCTCTTGACCCTTTGTCTCCTTCTGTCTTGTGTTTTGTTTACATTCATCCTCATCTTTGCTTGCCAATTAAAAATTCATGAACATATGCATTGTTTCCTACCAGACCAGCAAAAAAATCCCTCCAGCAAGGAACAAGACAAAACCCCCACAAACATAAGACAGTAGCGATTCCGGTTATTTTTAACTGCTACCTCCTATTTAATAGTCTGAAGTGTCAAAACAATCAAGTAATATTGTGGCATCCACAGGGAGCTTCTCTGAATCACACCATGTCTGCCTGAGGAAGGGCCAGGGAGGCAAGTTATTCACACACCTTCACTCTTTGTTATAAATCTTCTCAAATGATAATAAATATTCTTCAGCAACAGCATTTTCTCTAGGCTCTATTAGCTCAGGTATAGTTCATTAATACTGGGGAGGCTTAATGAAGGTTCTTTATTTTCCTCTCCTACTTCCCTCATGGTTCCCATTCATCTCAGCTGTCCCCAGCCTCCAAGCACTCCATCCCAAACCTGGGCCAGGTTGACGAGGTCTCGCTTAATCTAAAAGTTATCTGTGGAAGCTTAAGAGGTTAAGTGAGGTACTTAAACACAAATCCATCCTGAAGTCTAATGACCCCCGTGTGCCATCTCTGTTTTTAGTCTGGTGTGAGACCTTCCACACACACAGCGCGTTTCTGTAACAGAGCTAGAATATGACTGACCGTCATTATGTGAAATAACTACCCTTCAAAGACTAGGAGTCATTATCAGCCCTATTTCTGAGTTAGAACACAAATTCTTCTGAAAATTAAACTCTATTTATAGAACTGGCAGGAAAAAAACACTGTACTTAGAAATAGAAGAGGGAAAGAGAAAAAAAAAAAGCATGTACTGATTTTAATAGTTTTACCTTCTAGAGGAATAACATTGAACCCCCTCCCTCAAATTTCTTGCTTCTATCATTGTCTAAATTTGGGTTTTCCCCAAAGCAGACCTTGAATTAAGAAAAGAATTTGGGGCAGATAGTTGACTTGGGAGGTCACAGAGAAGACTTGTGTATGGGGAGTGAATAAAAGATGTATTGCTTGCTGGGTTCATGCTCTGAGCAGATGGGGTTCATTCCCTCTGGAGACCTTTTGAGAAACTATAGAACATATTTCTAACCTGTCCAGCTGAGGAGAATCTGGGGTATTCATGTACTAGGTCCTACTGCTCATCTGCAAATGACCTCCAGGACTGGCTGAATGGTACAGGTGGGACTTTGAGTCTAATAGAGTTGTCCTCCCTGACTGGGTTAAAATCCTGAACTCTCAACATTTGTCCAGACCTGTCTATGGTGTCTGGTTTTCCTGTCTGGGAGGAAGGACTTATGTACAGCTTTGGCCAGATGGGATGCAAGGAAAGCAATAAGAGGTGCTGGAGTTGCAGCTCAGTGGTAACGCACTTGCCTAGGATGTGTGAGCACTAGGTTAGATCCTCAGCACCACATAAAAATCAAAAGTAAAAGCATTGTGTCCATATACAACTAAAAAATATATTTAAAAACAATAAAAGCATGGCATTACCCTGTCCCCAGGTGCATCCTCACCACCCGTTTACATTCTCCTCCTACCCAGGGAACAGAGGGAAGTGAACTTCCTAGCTTTAGACATGTCCCACTGTGGCTGCCTCCAAAGACTGTTAACAGCTTGTCACTCACTCAAATATTTATGGAGAGTGGGCCAGGCTCTGTGTTGGGGGTTATGGGAGATCAAAGAGAGTTGAGACAGGATTCCTGCCCACCCACCCCTTTGCCCTCAGGAGCTCACAGCTGAGATTTAGATAAATCCTCAAATAACAATAATTTAAAACAAAATGAAATCAAAGCTTCCACAGAGGTGGAAGCAAGTCACTGTGAGGACTCTGAGGGAAGGGATCTAAGCCACTAGCTGGGATGTTGGGAAGGGGCTTTCTGTGCTTATATGTGCTCACTCAAGGGTATAGGGAGGTGGCTACTCTCCCAGGTTCCCTTCAACTTAAGTCTGTGGTCGCAGATGAACACTAACAACAAGCAAACAGACCACGTTTACCCTTCATTCTGGAGACCAGCGCAATAAATGCTTTCGTGTTTGCTTACTAGTGGGCAGGGAGATGTCTTACTAAAACTAACAAATAATTATGTTTCACAAAAGAAGTAGAGGCAGCATTCCTCACAATAGAGGGATAGATAGAATGTTGACTCGAGCATCTATTGGGTCTTTGTCCCTCCCACCCTGTAGCTCCTTTATAGAATATCACAACACCCTGGGGAGTCACACTGTCCAAATTCATCAGCTTCTTCATGTTTTTTTTTTTTTTTTTAACTGTAGAACCAGAGAGGAATGGCAGATAGATTCTGAACTGCAGTTGTCCCTCAGAAAGAGGACAATCGTGAACTAAATGAGAAGGGAAGAATGGCAGGGAAGGTCTCCAATTACTTAAAAGGAAAGAGCAAGGTCAACAAATGGATAAAGCATGTGAATAAATAGGGGTGCTTAGTTGCTAGGCATAAATGACATTTCGTGGTCTTTGGTCAGTCCATCAAGTAGTTCTGAGTGACTGTTTATGCCTCTGTTAAAGAACATTTGCGAGTCACTGCTTTTTCAGTGAGTTGTTTGTCCTTGGGACATGGCCAGCAGGAATGGTTATTTTGGCTCTTTTTGGCCTTTCCGTCTTCTACCAGCTGCCCCTCTACCCTTTCCAATTGGCCTGGCACTCTCGTTCTTCCCAGTCAGCCTCAAATGCCTTTCCATCAGCAGAGCTGCCCGTCCGTCAAGGGCATCAAGCCGCTGGGCCAGGAGTCAAGAGACATGAGCTCTGGTTCTAGGTCTGGCATTCACTTAAGATGTAGCTGACTCCTCTGTATCTCGGTTTCCTCACCTGTAAAATGGGGTGAGGAAGGAGTGGGGAGGTAGTTTAACTAAGTGATCTCAGAGTAAGCAGTGCCCAGGAGGCAAGGGCAGTTAGTTCTGTCTACCCAGAGGTCCACATGCCTCAGCATCTCATCCTGGCTGTGCTCATTGCCCTGAAGTGTGGGCACCAAGGCTGGAGCCAGACCCTCTCAGGCTCCAGGTGATCAAGGACTAGCTGCCCTTTGTCTCTCACTCTCCTCAGGCCCTTCCCCTGAGCTAAGCTACTCAGACTAATCACCTTCTCTGGCCAAACAAAACAAAACAAAAAAAGTAACCTGACTAATAATTCTGCTTTGATGAGCATCTTCTTAAGTCCTGACTTTAAAACTGCTTTATTAAATTTAGATTCCTCATGCATATTTAGTGCTATTATTATGATTCAAAGTGTGGCATGGCTCAATCTGTAACTATGATCTATCCTGCAGAACGCAAGGCACCTGCAGCATCGTCTGCTACATCATCCGCCAATCCTACCTCAAAGCCTTTCATCCATCATTTTAGTCACAAGCAGGAAAAATAACTAAATTCCAGTAAAATTGTGCTAACTCAAAATCTGCCAGGTATTGTCACTGTGCCCCACTTTTGCTACTTAAAATATTCCCCATTTTCTTGTTTCATTGCCAAAGTCACTAACTGGAGATAACAGGATGGTGGACCCCTTTGCCTAAGGCCTTGCCTCTTTCTGCAATCAACTGAATCAACTTTGCAGAATCTTGATGATAGCTTTCATCCTGCCAAAAGGGCTCCCATTTTCAACCTGGTTCCTGGCTTACCCCAATTGGCAAAAAAAAAAAAAAAAAAAGATGTTACTTGCAAGAAAATGTTAACTTTCCATCCATTAAAAACAGCCAATTTTTCTCTGTGAGATTTCATCTGTTGTATAATCTGAAAGAGATACTGGTTCTTCCAGAGACAACCATTTGATACAAGCTACGATTTTGGTAATCTTAAGCATGTTAGGGCCTGATTATAAGAGGTAATTGCCAAGTGTGTGTGTGTGTGTGTGTGTGTGTGTGTGTGTGCGTGCATGTTATTTGAATCTCATTCACTTTTACTCTAAAAGTAGGGATGAACTTTACATATATGTGGTCACAGGTCCCCACTTTGAATCAGAAAGTCTTTTTGTGAGTCACATTAGATGATATAAAGCACACAGTCAGTTGCCCGGCACATAACCATTACTGCAATGACAGTCATACCTTTTCCTTCATCCAGTACCAACGGACTGGCATTAACTCTCCAGTTTGTACAAAGTATCAGTAAAAGGTATAACAAAAAGAAAAGCTATTCCAACAGATTTTATATCCAAAGTCCCATTGTATTTCATAGAGAGCAGGTCACAATG